CCCCCCCCCTAATATTCGTAGATTGTAAGGCTGGAAGGGACCTTGGAAGATCATTGGTTCCAGCCGCTTGCACCCGGCAGAAAAAATAACTGGGGGCAAGGTGATTGTCTAGTCTCCTCTTGAAGAATTCCAGGGTAGGTGATTGCACCACTTACGGAGGGAGCTTATTTCACAGTCTAGACACCCTGACTGGACACCTGGATATATACATATGTATACATGCATGCATATGTATCTGGATCTAAGAACATGGATAGTTGGAAAGACAATAAAGTGTGCATATGTGTTTGTGGCTTTCCATCTAGCTATGTTTTTAGGTATATACATGTTATATATTGGTGTGTGTGTGTGTTTACAGGCTACAGCTACTCCTCAGTATCGTAGTTATGTTCTTGAAAAATGCGACTTTAAGTGAAACAGTGTTAACCGAATCCAGTTATGTCACAGTAGTTACCTGCTAGCAGGTGGCGGCCAAGCAACGTTATAACCAAACATTGCACAACTTTAAACGAGTATGTTCTCTAACAGCTCAATAACACAGAAATGAAACAGCATTAACCAGGATGATGGTAAGTCAGGAGTACCCTGTATATGTGTGCGTGCATGCATATACACATGAACATGTATAGCTATATCTAAAAACATGTATTGGATAGCTGGAAGGCATATGTATCTCTCTTCTTTCCCCCCTGCAATATATTTAAAAACATAGCTGGAAAGCCTATAAAAACATGTACGTATATAGATATGTCTATATCAGTGTGTGACTGTAGATTTTTATAGGTTTTCTAGCTATCCAGTATGTGTTTTTTCAGACACCAGAGGTTTGAAATTAAAACTTCACATTCATGTGTCCTTCACTGGTGACTATCTGGTCAATGTGGCAGTGTGAAAATAGATAAGAAGTAATAAAGAACACATTAAAATAGTTTGTACAACATATGCATGGCAGGGTTTGTTTATTTTTCTCTCTTTTTTAACCCTTCAGATTCTGTGTCTCCTCACTCCAGTCCTCCTTATAAACTGGAGAGCTCTCTTTGGGGCCAGTTTCTAGGCCAGAGTGTCCATCCATCTCCTGTACATACCTTTGAAATCACTAGTTTTTTTAAAGGAACAGTTTTGTGGTTCAGTGTGTTTGATTTTCCCTTTTTTCCAGTAATGGAAGACGTAATGTGTACTATAGACTATTTGAATGTGATGGATGAAATGGGAATTCATAAAAGGCATAAGATCAATTTATTGTTTCTTAAAAAACTGCAAATTAAAGACTGAATGTTTCAGATTAGGCTCGTAGGATAAACACTTACATGAGCAAAATTATACATGTATGTATTATGCTTGATGTCAATGGTAAAATAAAGCTTTTGCTTTGTAGGTAAAGAGCTCTGGATAGTATAAAGGTGGTATTATGTGAAATAATAGAGACCCAGAAACTTGTACAGTCTCTGCCCACATGCTGTAAGTGTGAATTCCTAAATTGTAAAGCCTCAATTATAACATTTAATTTGTCATAGTAGCGGTTATCACAATTACAGGCCATCTGCAAGTACCATATTTACTCAAATATAAGATGAGCTCTCAATAATTAGGTTCTATAAACGCTAAACTTATACATTTGTTATAATTTTCCAGGTGTAGAATCTAATTATTGGAGGTTTGGCTTGAATTTGTTCCCCACCCTGTGCTGCAGCAGGGAAAATAGATCTTGGGGGTCAGATAGCTGGCTGCCTCACTCTGCTTCCTGTGAGTTTCTTCCTCTTGCACCTTTCCCCAGCCCCACATCAGGCCCTGCTCTCACTGAGTACTTGGAAGTACTCAGAAACCTCACCTCCCAAGGCAGAGAAAGGATCCGTGCGCTAATTAACCCTGACTCACAACTAGAACTAGGTGTTCTTGCTGGGAGTCCTGGGATCCTCCAAAATTTATGTGAAGTTGAGGCAGAAGACAACATGGTTCGACTTCACCTTATGGAGGACAGGGCCATGCTAATATGCAGCAAGCTGAGAGAGGGGGTGACAGGGAATCTGGGTGAACTTTTTGGGCCCTGTTTGTTGATGTTTGCCAGATATTTAAGGCTGGTGAAGAAACAGATCATTGGAAATGGGAAAGAAAGGGGCAACTCAGTTGTGGGAGTGAAGAGTAAATAAAAAGCATGCAGTGTAGTGGCTCACCAAATACAGTCCCCATCAGTGCCAACTGTGCTCAGTGGGGCGCTAGTAAATGTTATCGAGATGGGTTGTGGTAACTCATCCTCAGCCTTTTTGGCTAAGTTCAAATATAGCATTTTTGGCACCAAAGGTCACGGCTGGCTCTGGCCGTCCTGGTGCCAGCCTGGTATTGCAGTGCCAGTTTCTTGTGGAGGGAACACACGCCCACACGGTTCCCATGAGCATGTTTGTCCAATGTGGGCCATGTATTTTATAGTCATGCTCAGTGTTGGCTGCATTTAATCAGCTTCATAGCTGGATTCCATTACTGAGCCCATACTGCTTTTGGCAGCAGTTCAGTGATAGGCAATATATTTAATGAGGTTTACTTGTATGTGAATGTAAGATGAGGGGCTTTTTTAAGCCTTGTCTTAAATATGGTAGTTTGAGGGTGAAAAAAGGCATCTACTCTCGTTTGAATGATTGATTATTTTTAAAGAAGGTAGGCTTATCTTTGGTTAAAAAATGTTGCTGATTTTTCCAAGGAGAAAAATGATGTGTTTTTCCTTTTTAAATAAATAATAAATTCATATACCACATCTTCATATCATAATGCAAAGTTTTTCTTTTAAATAGAAAAGAGGTAGCGATCAGTTTATCTTAGTATAAGTTTGCTTTCTTTTAGAGGCAAAATTTTCTGGGTAGGGAATAATGTGTGGGGTTTTTTTTATTAAATGCTGTTTAGACATGATTTTTTAAGAACAGTACAAATATTTGTCTATATTATTTTTTAGATAATATTCTTCAGTTCAGTTCTTAAACCAAGTACTTGGAAGTTAAGAAAAGCACAAACTGAAGTGGTATCTGCAAATGTCCCACTATTTGTTCCTGGGAACAGACCAGGGTTTGTTTTGGGATAACTACTTGCAATCCTCAGCTCCACTGCCCTCATACCAGACCTCACAAATACAGCAGGGGAGTCTCTGCCAGCTCTAGGTGTCCTCCCTTTGGATTGTGCAGACACTTTTAGGTCCCCCTTTCCATGGAATGGGCTAGCCTGGAATACCTGCCTGGTGATCACACTGTGCCACAGGCAGTCATTAAGGAGCAAAACAACAAAATAATTTATTATATAAAGGGTTCATCTGTCCTGCTAATTCTGCCAGCCCTGATTGCTGGGGACCTAGACTCTTCCAAGGCCTGAGAAAATTCAAAGACCGTAGCCATGTTACTGCCCCCCCCACCAAGCATAGTCCCAGTTTCTCATCCAGAATCCTCTGGGAACTTTTCCCCCTGGGACATCTGGCATTCCTCTGGCTGATAGGCCATTTCTCTCAAGTGCCTTTGTTATAAAGGAGTTAATTTCTCCATTGTAAGCAGACAGTGCCTTGGGTGCCAGACCCAATAACATTCTGCTTATGTCTGGGAGTGGCAGTTGTTTTTGCTTTAGTGTATGTGCTTGCCATAGCACAGTAGAATCTACCTTTTTCCTCCTTAATTAGGCATTCCTAAGTTCCTCTTATTAAACCACATTCAAAATCAGAAAAGTACCTAAATACTTTCATCATGACACCCCATAAACCTCCAAACCAAAATGGTGTTTGTGACAGCAAGTCTGAGGGGAAAAAGGAGTCCAGGAGAGCTGGATGTATTTTAAGGAGACTGTATTAAGGCTGCAGAAACAAGCTTCCTGATGCAGTGGAAGAATGAGCAGTGTAAGTGGAGACCATCCTGGCTAGACAGCAGTCTCTTTAATGAGTTGAAACTCAAAAAGGAATCCTATAAAAAGTGGAAACTTGGGCATGTTAGTAGGGAAGAGCATGTAGGGAGAAAATGAGGAAGGCCAAAGCATGATTAGAGATGCAGCTAGCAAGGGCAAATGAATGTCAATAGTAAGAGGAATACCAAAGAAAGTATAGGTCCCTTACTGAAGGCAATCCAGGTACAGATAATGCAGAGAAGTCTGAAGTGTGTGCATTTTCTCCCTGCTCCCCCATAGTGCAGCTGCTACCATCTCTTCCTGCCACACAGGCAAAGCCCCCTTCTTCCCCAAAACACCACAGAAGCCCTATGATTCTGTGGCTTTGTTTACTTGCTGTCCTACTTTGTGAAGACATTACCAGATGACAAACACAGCTGGCAGCAAAGATAGGAAAGGAGACAGCCTAGAGTAGCAGAAGACCAAGTTAAAGGTTACTTAGAGAAACTAGATCTTCTCAGGTTAGGTTTTTAGGACAGGGCTAGGAGCAATGGTTTCAAACAGCAGCAGAGGAAAATTAGGTTGGAGATTAGGAAGAATTTTGCACTGTGGATGATCAGTCATTCAGATGGGGTTCCTATTGAAACCGTGGGCTCTTCATCCCTGAACATTTCTAGAAGTTAGATGGACTTTTAGCTGAGTTGGTTTAGTTAGAGATGATCCTGCCTTGAGCAGGGGGCTGGATTAGATGACTTTATGAGATCGCTTCCAGCCCTACTTTTCTATGATCCTGTGTTCAGTGTATGGGGTTTTGAATTGGGTGTTGTTAGAACTGAGCACCCAAACTTGTCTGTTTTGGTTTAAGTGATTTTCTAGCACCATTGCAGAGTGGGAGCAGGGGAATTAAATGTTTCCAGGTGTCAATAAACTGCTTAAAGAATGACATCATCCTTTTTCTCCTTTTGACCCCATGCTGCATTAACTATGTAGGTACTGACTTTTGCAACAAATAGAGATGCATCGATATATTGGTCCTTATCTGATCAGCACTGATAAAGGGAAAATTGACATTATCGACAGTTGGCTTTTTTTGGCTGGGGTAGCCAATAATGCCACTGATAAATGCTGCCTGCTTACGCACAGCCACAGCATGCACACAGCCAGGAATGCAGCCTGGCAGCTTGGAGACCATCATCCAGCTGGTAAGTCTGTGGGAGGGAAGGGTCGTGGGGGAGCTAGTTTGAGGCCCCCATAGTAAGGGAGGGAGTGGGGCAGGGGCTGCTGGGAGGGGGCGGAGGATGGGGTGGAGCCATGGGTGGCACATTTTGGGGGTGGGGGTGGGAGGACAACTTCCCACTGCTGTGCGCACGCCCTGGGGAGGCATGGAGGCATGTGCCTTCTGGATTTGTGCACGGGGTGACGGCATGCAGCCTGCTGGTAAGGACCAGGGGCTGTGTCGGCCTTTTCCCTCAGGGGGCTGGGTCGGGGCTGCACTTGGGAAGGGGTGGGCAGCAGCAGTGCCAGGAGGGGAGCTACGCTGGATTTTGGGGTGACTGTAGCCCACTCTGTAGCCCCTCCTCCCAGTGCTGCCCTCCCTGAGCACAGCTCTGGCCTAGGCCTCCTGCCAGGAAGAGGCAGGCGCGGCCCCTGGCCATGAGCCCACAACAGGCAGCCTCTCCTCATCCCTGCACAAGTTGGGGGGACACATGCCCCTCATACCTCCCCCCCAGGGTGAGCAGCAGTGGGAGCTGACCGCCCCTGGACGAACTGCCCGCAGCCCTATCCTGCCCCAGCTGAGCAGCACCTGGCCTTTCCTCCCTCACCCTGGGGGTCTTGTTCTGCCCCCCCTTCCCCTTCTCACCCCTTCCCCCCCCACAGACTTACCTGCCAGATGCTGCTCTCCACACTGCTGGGTAGGGGTGAACTAGTAAAGATTTTTTGGGTCAATACTGATGGCTGATTATTAACAAGCCATATTGGCTGATACCAATTTGATTGCCGATATACAGCCCGGCAACTTGCAGAGCAGCATCTGGCTGGTAAGTCTGTTGGGAGAAAGCTGGGGGGAGGGAAGGGGCACGGGGCAGGGAGCAGATTGAGGCCCCTGTAGTGAGGGAGGGAGTGGGGCTGGATATGGGGCAGGGTGAGGTGTTGCCCAGTTGGGGAAAGGTGTGGGATGGAGCTGCGGCTCATGTCCGTCTCTCCTTTTCCCCACCCCCGGAAGAGCCTGGCACTCCAAGTGCTCAGCAGCAGCCTGCCCATACCCCATGCACAGATCCGTTGGGCACATACCTCCCATGCCTCCCCCAGGGGTGCATGCAGGGTTGGAACTCGCCCCCACCCCCATGCCTCCCAGATGAGCTTTGGCTTTATCCCGTGCCCATAAAGGTGGTAGACGGATCATATTCGACCTGGGGGGAAGTGGGCAGTGGAGTCCCCCAGGGCTCGGTCCTTGGGCCCGCACTGTTCAATTTCTTTATCGGCAATTTGGATGACGGGGTGAAAAGCAACCTGTTCAAATTTGCTGATGATACCAAAATTTGGGGAGAGGTGGGCACGCTAGCAGGGAGGGAAAGACTGCAGAAAGACCTGGATAGGTTGCAAGGGTGGGCTAACAAAAACAGGATGCGTTTCAATACTGACAAGTGCAGGGTGCTGCACTTGGGCAGTAGTAACCAGCAGCACACTTATAAGATGGGAAACTCCCTTCTTGAGAGCATGTAGGCAGAAAGGGATCTTGGAGTCATCACTGACTTCAAGATGAACATGGGCCGACAGTGCGAGGTCACGGTCGGCAGGGCTAACCGGACCTTATCGTGCATCCACAGGTGCATCTCAAGTAGGTCCAAGGAGGTGATCCTCCCCCTCTACGAGACGCTGGTCAGACCACAGCTGGAGTACTGTGTCCAGTTCTGGGCACCCCCTTCAAGAGGGATGTGGACAACATTGAGAGGGTCCAGAGGAGGGCCACCCGCATGATCCGGGGACAGCTGGGCAGACCCTACAATGAGAGGCTACGGGACCTGAACCTGTTCAGCCTTCACAAGAGAAGGCTGAGCGGGGACCTGGTGACCGTTTATAAACTCACTAGGGGGGACCAGAAGGGTTTGGGGGAGACCTTGTTTCCCCTAGCGCCCCCCGGGATAGCAAGGAATAACGGCCACAAGTTGTTGGAGAGGAGGTTTAGATTAGACATCTGTAAGAACTACTTCACAGTTAGGGCGGCTAGGATCTGGAACCAACTTCCAAGGGAAGTGGTGCTGGCTCCTACCCTGGGGGGCTTTAAGAAGAGGCTTGATGTCTACCTGGCTGGGGGCATTTGAGCCCATTTTTCTTCCTGCCCAGGCAGGGGGTCGAACTTGAAGATCTACAAGGTCCCTTCTGACCCTACTTCTATGATTCTATGATATAGCTTGTATGTATGGCTGGTAAGGGGGTATGAGCTAGAACTGGAGTAGGAGTGCAGGTTTGGCTTGAATGTGTATCTAATATACAGCAGATTCAGATTGACTCTTCTTCAAAATTAATCATCAGTATGCTTCTTTCTAGTCTCCTTCCTTTTGTTTATGTGGTTTTTGCACCTAGTGGGCTGAGAGAGCTTCTTTCTTACTTGCCTTTGGAAGTTTTGGGTGGCTTGTTCAGTAAAAAAGTCCATAGGAATCTACTGAGTGAAACCATAGCAATTTTATCTTTGGAGCTGTACTCTATTGTAACTCAAGACCTTACATCAGGGGTCAGTAGTTTGAGAGTGGGGGTGCTGCTTGAACGGATCTTAGTGTTGAGTTTGGGCTGCTGCCACCCTAGTTCACACTGCTGCTGTCACTGCTCTCCCCCCACCGCCGCAGTGCTGCTGCTACCATCTCTTCTTGCCACACAGGTGAAAGCCCCGTTCTCCCCCAAAACACCACTGAAGCCCCATGACACTGTGGGCCAGGTAAAATGGCTCCATGGGCCAGGCCTGCAGGTTCCAGGTTGGCGCCCCCCCCCGCCCCCGCGGCTATATGGAAGCTGTTTGTCTTGGTTTTGTTTTCAGCAGCAAAATATCTCAGCTATGTGGCAGCAGCGGTGCCAACTTTCACTGGCCCAAGGACAGTAGTACTGAGTAAGTAATGTGCTATGGGCAACACCAGATTCTTCTTTCA